TAAAACAGAAACAAAATCTAAACATATGCTGGAAATTTGTTTGAAAAAATGTGTCACTCGAATGCATAATAGAAACTTGAACTACTCTCATTTATTGGCCTTTCTCAACTTCTATCTTCCTTATTCATGACAAAGCCACGATTGGATCATTTTCAGTGTCCTTTTATAAGGACTAAGTCAGTAGCTCAATGTACCACCGTTGAGCAAAATGGATAGGTACCATGCAAGAGCAATGCTTTTGGTCTTGGCATTTGCACTTCTAAGCAAAGGATATGCACAAGACTTAGGTGCTCTTGTTTCAGCCATCATAACCTTCAGTGATTCTGCAGTAGATGTTGCTAACCATGACTATCTCCCCAAGGCCAATTACCCTCCTTATGGAAAGGACTTCATCAATCATAAACCTACTGGGAGGTTTTGCAATGGGAAGTTAGGCACTGATATCACTGGTAAGAAATCAGTACTACTATTAATTTATCTAGTGATTATTTCTTTAAGTTAATAAACTAGATAGATTCCCTTTTGCAACTGAAAATCACGGATTCAAGACTTATGCTCCAGCATATCTAAGCCCGGAAGCATCAGGGAAGAATCTTCTAATTGGGGCCAATTTTGCTTCAGCTGCATCTGGTTATGATGACAAAGCTGCCATCATAAATGTGAGAAATAGAATTCCACCTTATGCATATATTCATCTGACACTTCTTTCCCTTTTTGTCAAACAATTTTAGTATTTTGCAACATGCTATCCCATTGTCATAGCCATTGGAGTATTACAAGAAGTACCAGAAAAAGTGAGCAAAGTTAGCTGGATGTAACAAATCTGCATCCATTATCAAGGACTCTATATATATTCAAGTTGCTGGAAGAAGTGACTTCCTTTAGAACTACTATGTTAATCCTTTACTCAATAAAGCCTATGCTCCCGATCAATATGGTTCATATCTTATCAATGTGGAAGATCCATCTCAATTCCACAAACAATCATAGATAATTAAGAATAAACAGGTAAAACAAGTGAAATTCAGATTACCAGGACCAGACAAAACTGCATGAGGGCACGGAACTGAAGCTGCTCTTCCACTTAACTTTCTCTCCTCACCATTGGTCTTCTGGTCATTCATCACTGTCAAAATGCATTTCATAATTAAGATTAAGAAAAAGTACAGAATTAACCTATAGTGAGAGTTTAATTTCTAACATGTCCACTAATTCAATGTGGAGAGTGGAGTACATAAGTCATACGAGTCAAAAGTTCACAGTACCATGTCAAGAACCGCTTTACTCGAAAATTCAAGGAATTAGATAACAATAACATTTAAAATGTAGTATGTAGAGGAAAAATAATTAACCTTTAGAAGCTGAAATTGAATTAGCATTGGTAACTCTGGCAATTATAGGTGGGGGAATCACAATCCTATCGTTTTTCCTTCTCTGCACAGAAACGAGAGGGAAAATAAAACCATACATTACATGGGAATAGAGGATATATAATTAGAAGCAGTACTGATATATCATAGTGAAAAATAGTGGCAGCTGGTATTAATTACCTTGGCTGGAGAAAGACTCTATAAATTGAAGTGAACCACTGTCATCTTCATCTTGTTCCGGGCTCACTTTCAGCTTTGGGTACACTTGGATTAATTTCAAAAACAAAACAAAATATTCATATTAGGATTGCTAAGATGCAAAGAGCTTCCGAAACATTGAAAGAATTAAAAGACCCTCTTGATTAAGAAGAGAAAACTCACTTTTCTTCTACTGTTGTGTCTTGTTTTTGGAATTGGTGGTCTGAATGAGAAGTATGTGGTGTGTAATAGAAGTGATAATTAGAAAGCAAAAAAAGAAAAGAGTGGAAGAGAAGGAAGTAACGATCAGCAACTGAAACGGGAAGGAGTAATTTTGATGATTTCTCGACTTGAAACCCAAAGGACACATTTGGCTTTTTGTATCATTTTGGCTTTGGCATGAGAGAAAATGCTTTTGTTCTGGAAAAAGAATGAGCCAATAATGAAGTGACACGTAGGATAATTTCAGGAGAGCAGTGGAGACGGTGCTTTGTTTTGAATCGATGGGCCTCGAGTTTGAAATTTTTTTTTACTAGTTTCACATTTTGGATCTTATAAGGAAGCCCAATTTCCCGTAAGGCCCATTATCTATCTGTTGTGATGTTGTCAATATGAAGGTAACCAGCTATATTGGGCTGATAGGACTCACAAGGTGGCTACTACCTGTCCAACTTTTTTATTTTTCTCTATAAATTAATGCATAAAAATTCATGTCAAATTTTTTTTTATAAATTAATATATGAAAAATGTATTTAAGACAATCTTGATCTATAATTTAACCAAAAAATAGCTATATATTTCTTATAGGCATAAATATGATATAAGGACCCAAACTTACACAAAATTCGCAATGTTGGACCCAAACTTCAATTGCACTCAATTAAGGTCCTGAACTCCACGAGATTCTCAAACAAGGTCCCAATTTGACGGGAAAACTAACTTCCGTTAAATCTAACAAACACCGTTAAATGTCTGTCACACTCCCTTAACTGACTTTGTGACACCCGTTTGTCATCGGCACGCCGTTTGTCATTTGCACGCCTTTGCATGTTTTTTTTTCCTTTACTTCATTTGTTTTTACTAATATTTTTTATTAA